CACCTTTTTATGTTGTTTAAAAAAGGTATTTGCAATGAATAAGTCACTTGACTTTTTGATGATGAATGCTACACTAATCCTCTTGAATTTGTTATTTGAACATTGTAAACCATATGATTGTCAAATTCAAAAAGGCCAATGCCAGTCCATTTTTGGCTCACTAATGACTAGGATCGAGTCCTCGTGTGGTACTGTGGGTTAGTGCACTGGACTGTAAGGTCAGTTTGAACCACAAGATAGATGGTTCAAGCTCACCAGCTGCTCCTTGAAAACCCTGTACAGGGTCTCTATGAGTCAGAACTGACTTGACGGCACTTAGCAACAACAACAATGCCTAGGATATCAATGTCTATGCATTCCATTTTATTTTTAAACAGCTTCCAATTTTCCTAGACTCATACTTCATATGTTCCATGTTCTGATTATTAATGGATGTTTACAGCTGTTTCTCCACATTTTGAGTTGTTCCCTGTCAGCAAATGAAGGTCCTAAAAGCTTTAGTTCATTCAAGTCATCATGATCAACTAACTGTACATAGAGGAGGCAGATCTTCCCCAGTTGCATTTTGAGTGCCTTCCACCCTGAGGGTCTCATCTTCCAACACTATATCTGACAATATTCTGGTGCTATTCATAATGTGTTCATTTTCCAGTACTATATCTTACAACAGTCCATTGCTATCCATACAGTTTCAGTGGCTAAATATTCAGAAGTACATGCCTCTCTTTCTTCCAAGTCTGTCTTATTCTGGAAGCTTCCACGGAAACCTGTCCTTTTCATACTTTGAATATTTTGCTGGTATTCAAAGTACCAGTGACATAGCTTTTGACTTCACAGCAACATGCAAGTCACTACAGGACAACAAACTGAAAGATGAGTGGTATTTAAGGTTGTATCGGTTGAAAATAAGATAGATCCTAAATCTAATCACTTCTGAGTTATGAAAAGACCAGAACAGACTAGAGACAAAAACACATAGAGAAAGACATATGAGGTCCCTTACAAGCATAGGAATGTCAAGGATGGCTGGCAGATTCCAGAGCTAGGAAAGAGTCACATAGAAGGAATTGGCATAGCCAAGAGCCTGATTTGGGCTTTTGGTCTCCAGAACTGT